GGCCGCGGGCAGCTGACGACCTGGCCTCCAGCCATGAAGCCAAGAGGCAGGCGCCCTGCTCCCCGCCAGCTCCTCGTCCAGGGTTCCTGCCCCCCACCTACGGGCCCCTCCGAAGCCTCCGTGCACAGGGAGCCCAGACGGGCTGAAGACAGAAACCACCACACCCAACAACAGAACATGGGCAGTTTGCTGCCTCGATGGCCCTGGGCTTCCTCACCGACACGGCAGACGGAAGGTTCTAAGAACATCAGGAAGAGACTCTGCTCCTGTCTACGGCCGGACACAGAGACGCCGTGTGGGGGCCACGGCCGCTCTGCCCCTGCCCCTCCTCGCCTCCCAGGGCTGGGATTTCTAAGGGAAATCAAGGCAGGGCACGCAGGGACAGTCCCACCAAATGCCTGGGGGCAGGCTGGCTGCCCCCCAACTCAGTCTGTTCTCTGTGACCCCATCTTAGCCTCAGGAACACACCATCGGTTTGTATTTTGCTCATGCCAGACTGCGTATGCACACACACACACACATGCACACACGCACTTGCACACACATGCACATTTCACACCCATGCAAGAACACACGCGTACACACATTTCACACCCGTGCACGGGCGTGTGCACACACACACACTCACCCATATACATGCACACACGCGCACACACACACGCACATACGCACTGATGTGAGCAAATCATGGCTCCAGCACAGCAGTTACGGTTTATCTATGTGAACAGATCTGACGGGAAACAGACAGATTACATCTGCAGGGAAATTAAGAAATTCGAATGTAGGAGTCGTTACCACAAAGCCCTTTAGGGAGCTGTGGTCCCCAGACGTGGCCCCTGCAATCACGTTTACTCCCACGAGGGGGACAAGCAGGTGACATGTGTCCCCGGCACTACAGGACCGGCCTGCAGGTGCGCACAGACAGCAGCCGGCTTCTGGAGCTGGGCGTCCCTGGGAGCGCCCCGAGGGCACGGGGTCTGGGGCTGGCACCCTGCCTCGTGCTGCTGGCCACACCAGGCTGTCCCTCCCACCACGGGCACTCTGCATTGCTACATCTGCTGCTGCGGGGCCCCCACGGTCTCTGGGCACAGGGCCTGCCTCTGGCTGCTTGCCTCCTGCCACAGTATCGGGGACCCGGCCCCACTCCCCAGGGGCCCGCACTCACGGGACCAGCTGCCAGTGCCGACCCCACACCTCCGGAGTCCAGCCTGGCCAAACGCACAGGTGGGAGTATATTCCTTAGGCTGAGCCAAACGGAGCCTTCCTGAACGTCTGCCCCTTGACCCCATCCCCACCCCGCCCTCCAGGACGGGGGTCCTCAGGCCACCCCCAGCTGACCTGGGACCTGATTTCAACCCACTCCAGCCTATGACTTGTGAAGACAAACACTACCGCCAGATGCCACAAGAAGACAGGCCACACCCCACGTTTCCCACGTCCCGTCAGAGGGTGTTGGGGCTCAATCGTCCCATGTGAACTTTCAAAGCAAACGCAGCCGGGCAGACAGGAGGTCCAGGCGCCAGGACGCGGCCATGCCCTCTGCTTCCAGCCGGCCACAGCTGCCCCTTAATTTCACTAAACCAAACATTTTAAAATCAACAGCTTCTAAGAAGGTGGACTTTTTGTTTTTGTTTTGTTTTGTTATGTTTTTTTAATCGAAGCCACTACAAAATCGGGGTCAAGTCAGTTTCCGGGGGTGACTTTCCATACAGCCGACAGGCCTGCACACTTCAGAATTCCATGTGTCAGCTGTGACCCAGCTGGTCAGGGGGCCGCTCAGTGCCCGGCAGGAGAGGAGCACCTGCCAGGTAAGCCGTGCATGGGTGCGGTGGGCGGGGCCTGCCTCCCAGGGAGGGACCAAAAGGACCCAACTCAGGGAGTCACAGGTACACAGCGCACAAGGGCACATGCACACACATGCTGGGATAGAGACGGGTCCACCAGACCGAGACAGAGAAGGGCAAGGCCAACCGGACCCTTCCTTCTTGAGTGGGACAAAGCAGGGGTTCGGTACGTCTAGGCTGCTGATGGGGCCCAGCATGGAGCTACGGGGGACCCGGGGTGTGTGCCTCTGAAGGCTGGCCGGGTCCTGTCTGAGCGCGAAGCCCGAGTGTCGACCAGGCTGAGTGGGGAGGATAGGAGTCCCGGCTCTGAAACACACAGAGACAGCGTAAGGGGAGTCACTGATGTGCACAGACCCCAGCCTGCCCTCCCTGTGTCCCTCTGCTCCCTGTGCCCGGGGCACCGACAGCAAACCCATGGAGGAGCCTGAGCTGGGTCTGGAGGAGGGGCTGGGGGGGCCCTGGAGGTGTCGGCCCCCCATAGCATGGCTCGACTTGGGCACACATGTGCACATGGCTTGTGTCTGAGTTACCGGTCTGCTCTGCACCGGGCTTGGTTCCACGTTAAAGTTGTTATTGCTTCTAGTGACAGAAGGTGTCTGGAAGCTCTGGTGGCTTTGGAGTCTGATAAAAGTGCAGGCTCGGGGGACCTGGTCTGTGGGGGGTGCTGCCCTGCAGGACACAGACCCTGTGGAGTGGACCACCCCGCCCCATGGTCCGTGGAAGCATCTGGAAGTTTGGGGTTGCTCTCTAGTCTACTGAGGTTGGGCGTAAGCACACAGAAGGGGCGCCAAGGGACACCCCAAAGTGCCCCCCAAGCAGGGCGTGGCTTCCCCAAGCAGAGACGTGAGGCCTTGGGGACATCGCACGTCTGGGTAAAGGGTGTCATTCGCACGGTGACGGGCTGTTCTCATTTTTGGTGGGAGCAAAGGGGTGTCGTGTGAAACACTGTGCTGTTTACAGAGCATCTCAAATAATTCAGAGAGGACCCCACGCGAAAGGCTAACGTTTGTCCGTGAACGCTGTACAAGAGTAAAAACAAGTAAGGCAATATCCTACAGTCCCATCCCAAGTACAGAGGAAGATGGCACGCAGCGACCGCTGAGGCGGCACACGGATCCTGCACCCCAGGGAGCCGCGGGGCTGAGCCGCTGGTGACCGACGGTCGCTCGCTCGTGGAGGCGGGAGCCTCGCTGCCGGAGTTGGTCACAGAGGTCGGCTGCTCCTGGTTCCGTAGACCCCGGGTTGGGCCCAGCGAGGCCAGAGGGCCACTGAGAGTCCCATGGGCGTCCACCCGCCTCTGGAATCTGCCATGCGTGTCTGGGGAGCCACCAACCCATCTCCGCCAGCTGAGGGCCGGGGCCCCGAATCTTTAACAACAACTTCATGCTTGGGCCATCCTGACCGCCCGGCCTCCACGTCCACTTCGAGGGGACACGCGGTCCCACTGGGGCCACCCGGGGAACTCAGGACCCTGCCTCAGCTGAAGGCCCGTACCTTCAATTCCTGTAAAGTCCCCTCTGTCTTGTGACAGAGCACGTTCACGAGGTCAGGCCACAGTGCCATCCACCGCTCCCCGGCCCCCAACCTGCCCTGGGTGGAAGGCGGGCCAGGTCCCCAACCCTGCAGCTGGGTGCAGACAGGCACACAGGCCACATGCTCACAGGACTCTTGAGGTGACTCAGGTTCCCCTGAAGGAATCATGCCATGTCTCTAAATGTGGGCAGCGCGGGGGGGGGGGGGGGGGGGGGGGGGGGGGTGCGGTGCGCAGGCCGGGCCACTGAGACCTTGTCAATGTAGCGATGGCTGTTGCTGGCCAGCAAACAGCTTGTTCTCAGGAGGGAGGCTGTCCACCCACCCACTTCTGTCCTGAACCTGCGCGGACTGCCCCGCAGAGCCCCCGCCCGGCAACACGGCTGGGCAGGTCGCCCCCCACGGAGCATGCCACGCCTCGCAGGCCTCCAGCGGGAGCAGCCTGGGGATATCCCCGGGAGCAGGACCCCCAGGCCCCTTCACTGGCTTCAGTCCCTCAGAGCCCCCCGCACTGCATGCTGGAGCTGCAGGTCAGGACTGGTCCCCAGATGGACTTGTCTGCCCAGACCCCCCTCCGGTGCCAAAACAGCCTTCCTCCTGCGGTCAGAGCTGAGGCCCCCGAATGTCTCGTCCGGTTATTTCTGGTCCGTCCTTTCCCCCGGCTGCTGCCCTGTGCCCCCAGCAGCACATCCCGGCGTCCTCGGTCTGCCCCTGCGCACATAGGTGACTCCCAGACCTCCGCACGGTTCCCTGCAGGGGGCCGGACACCCACACGTGCAGCCCGAAACTCACTCCGAGACTCCCCGTCCAGCCGCTGGTTCTTCCGCCCTAGAAGCTCTCTCTGGGTCGTGAGGTTCACTTGTTTCAAAATCCATGCAGTCTCATGTTGTAAGTACTGGAGACCAAGATGACCAGCACAGTGACCAGAACAGCCGGGGTCTGTAGGAACTGGTGCCGTCAGGGGTCAAGGGACAGCACAGCGCAGAACAGGGAGGACGCTGGTCTTGATACGGAGACGTGGCTCGGGGGCCCGTGAGTTCCAGAAGACCCGCCTCTGGCTCTCAGCAAAGACTGTTCTGGAAGGAGGTGTCCCCACCGCCTGCGCAGCCAGACAGGGGGCTTGTCTGTTCTCCCCAAAACCGCCCATCAAGGGCCCAGCCATCTGGGCCACGTTCTTGCCCTCACGGCCCTGCCGAGCAAGGCCTGGCTTCCGTCCACGCAGGCCCCACCACACAGGGTTCATGGTGCATCTGCCTAGGGGCACACTCGCACTCACGCCCGCCGGCCACAGCTCCGCAGCTCTGGCTGAATGGAAGCCCGCAGCCCCGCAGGATGTCCTGAAGGGCACAGAGCCTGACGCTGACCCGGCCGCTCCCAGGCAGCTGCTCCTTCTCTGCCACCGAGGAGAGGACCGCGCGAGCACAGTCCCGTGAAAGCCTCAAGTCCACGCGGGCAGGGCTGCCCCTGGCCCGTCACTGCCCGGCTGCTTCGGGTCATGCCTGGACAGCTCCCCTTCCGCAGCCCAGCCACTGGGCTGTCGGCCGGGCTGGTCCCTGCTGGAGCCCCCGAGGCCCAGATGCCCCGCACATTTGTGCCCTGAGCCCCCGGCAGCCAGCGTGGGCTCCGCTAAGCCTCCTTCCCAGCTGCTCCGGGGGGCAGGTGCTGGCCGTGGGGGCAGGGGGGGAGCCCTGAGCCCTGCAGAGCCCCCATCCCGGCTCTGACCGGGAGGCCTGCCATGGAGGACACCGGGGGTGGGCCCGTGCCCAGTCTGCCCTGGAGGCCGGCTCGCCCGTAGCCACACACTTTCCGCTCCCTGGCTTGGGAGCCGTTTCCGTCCGTCCTGCCTTCCAGGAAGTACGTCAGCATCTCACCCTTGCCCTTGACGCTGACCTTCCCGCGACACACGAAGCGGTAGGTCCCCCGGCGCAGCAGCCGGTGAACCTCCTCGGTCACCTGCAGCGGAGGAAAGCAAGCGGGCACCCCTCTGGGTCGGCGGGCGAGGATCCTGGGGGCAGGGCCGCCCAGAGACTCCCTCCTCCACCCGCCATAGCCTGTCTCCAGCATCATAGAGAGCCGGGGACCCGAGGGGCCCCGGGGATCCCCAAAGGGACAGCCCGGGGTCTCAGCCGCCTGCACACCAGCCAGCCACGGGCACGCAGGAGAAAGCAGTGCTCTCCAGGGGGAGGCCCGGGCACCAGCCGGATGCCTGGGCGGGACCAGCTCCAGCGGCTGACAGTGAGGGGCGGGACACACAAACCTGCATCGCTAACATCTGGGGCCCTCGCTCGCTTCTTTGAGGAAAGAACCAAATGTCCGATTGGGACCCAGCAGAAGAAGGATCCCATAAGAAGCATTTACTGGCGGGAGTGCTCAACACGGGAGGGGGCCCGAGCGAGGGGCCACTGGCGGAAGAAGTGTCTCCGGGAACAGAGGTGGTCAGGGCATGTCGGAGCCCTGGCACCCTGAGAGGCGGGCACCTGGGTCAGAATGTGGCCACGCAGGACTCGCAGAGACCCACATGCAGCATGGGGGCGGGGGCCATGGAAGGGCAGTCCCTGTGGTATGACAGTGGGGCGGGGGAGGCAGGCACTTCGTGGAGAACGGCCACAGTCTATGGCGGGGGCTTGCTGGAATCTGATTTTGGAAACTTAGTGGACCTGGGACAGTGGCCTGGCTTCACCAAGGTCCCCCCACACGTGTGACCTGTCCTGGGGAGGCCGCAGGGTCCTGGATGGCAGGTGGGGTCACTCAGTGCCTTCGAGCTGTTCACGAACCACACACGGTGATGCGGGAAAGTGTGCAACAATAAAAGAAATTCGAAGGAAGGACTGCAGATGTGCAGACGCACCTCAGGGGATCCTGCCCTGTGCTGGGCACAGCTCTCCTGACAGTTTAAACCCAGGAACCCAAGGGCCTGCCAGGCACCTGAGAGGGACGTAGCACCTGCTGGATGCTGGCGGGGGGGGGGGGGGGGGGGGGGGGGGGGGGGGTGCGGTGGGAGGAACAACTGAACACACAGATGCCGGGGAGCTGGCAGCCTCTACACAGCTCTCGAGGACCTTGCGAGGCATCAGGGCAGAGGGGGAGGCCAGTGCTGGACCCGGGGCTGCTGACAGAGTGCCCTGCATTCACTGTCCCGGTCCCATGGGCCCCCAGAGGCCAGCAGCAGCCACACAGAGGAACAGGCCTCCTCCCCCCAAGGCCCCAGGGCCTGTGGTGTGAGCCCCCGCAAACCTGACCAAGGTCCCGAGAGCCACCCACAGCCCTGCACACCTGGGAAGAGCTGTCACTGCCCCCAAGCCTTGGGGTGGCCGGTCCAGGGGGTCAGGGCCAGGCATCTCACAGCACCCACCCTTCAAAACCCCAGGAAGCCCTTCCCTCTAAGGCAGCCGGGCAGGTGGGCAGGGTCCTGGATGCCAGAGGGGCTCACTGTCCTTGACTGGGACCCCAGCCCTCACCATGCCCCCAACTCTGCACACAGCCATGCGGGAGCCAACCCCCGCGGCCACAGAGCAAACCAGACAGCAACGACCTCACGCCCCACAGGCTGTGGACACGCTGTGCTGGGCGGCATCCCGTCCCTGCCAGGCCCTGGGGCTCAGGGCCACCCACTCCCGTCAGGCCGGCCCCGCCTCCTGCGCCTGGTCTCCCAGCCTTGGCACTCGTGGTGAACTGACCTGGATTCTGCCCTGGACGCCGGTGCTGTCCATCCGACTGGCCACGTTGACTGTGTTCCCCCAGATGTCGTACTGTGGCCTCCGAGCCCCGATCACCCCGGCCACCACAGGGCCCACGTTGATGCCTGGAAAACAGCGTCAGCACCGTCAGTACCGGGAAGGCTTCCAAGGGCAGGAGCTGCCCCTCTTGGGGTCGTGGGGTCCCGGGGATCCTGGCAGTGTCCAGTCCGAAGGGGCCGTTTGGAAGCCTGGGCGTACGGCCCCGTCCTCATCCTGAATCCCGTTCCCTGGAACGGAGACCCCACACTGCTCAGACGCCTGGCCTTTCAGGATGGCAGTGCACTCCCCCACACTGCTGTCCCCTTCCACTTCCCTGGCTGTGACCCCGCAGGTCTTGTAGGGTATGGGGCCCGGAACCGTTCACGCTATTTCAGGGTGCTCTGAAGTGGGGAACAGAGGCCCCCTTCTCTTCACGTGGCTCAAGGTCCGAGTGCCCATCACCCCTGCAGCCATCCCAGAACTGGGGCCTCCTGGCCCTGCAGAGGCCACGTCACGTCGCCCCACACCGCACCCCGCACACTTTTCTGGGTCAGCCACAGGCACTGCGTCCCAGCCCAGCAGTGGGGTGCTGGTGTGGTGTGCAGGACGCGGGGCCTAGACAGGGGCCCAAGGGCCACTTCTCCCACAGCTGGTGGGCCGGGCTCCCTGCTTGGTCCTCATGGGGGAGCGGGAACAGAATTTCTGTTTCCTGCCACGTCACTACACGCGGTGGAGTCCCGGCCAGAGGAGAGAGCAGGACGCAGGGACTCGGGCCGGGCAGGCGCCAGGTTCCACAGACCCCTGCCGTCACCCTCACGCTCAGCCTAGCTCTTAGGATTTTTACTGGACACTGGACGTCTGAATTCTAGAACCACCACAAGCAACCATTTTTGGAGCATTCCCCCACCCC